AGCACTGAGGTGGTCTGCCAGACACAGATGGCTGTTTGGGGGTGATGCTAGTGTTCCTGGGATTGATCTCAGTTTCAGAAGCACATGCGCTAAAAAATTCTGTTGAGCACATTAACTGAATGAATTGAATCTAGATGAATTATCCCAACTAAGTTATAAAAAGAAAGTCGGAAGATTTGAGTGTTCCCCAAGGACTCATACTTTTAAAATCATCCAGCCCCTGTTGTAAGAGATTAGGAGAATGGGAAATCAGGGGTGATATCCTGCCTGGACTTCTGTTGACCAGGACCTCCAGCTAACTGTGGAGGCCTCCTCGGTAGTTCTTGCTGGATGATATGTCTGATGTTTTACTACCTAGCTGCTGCTTGCTGGTGTGCTTATCCCCGCTTGTTATATGCTTAAAAAACTCATTTGAAATTAGGAAAAGAAGAGTTGGGAAACTAACCTTACAGAGTGGAAGACTTTGGGTAGTGAGGTCTGAGTAAGGTTTTCAGAGTAAATCTTGGTGACAGCATTACCACTGGCTTCGTAAGAAGTATGAGACCACAGATAATATGCAGATACTTATGCTGTAACCATTGAGCACCCCCAACACTGCTAGCAGGCCCACACCAGATGCTAGCCCTATGCTCAACTCAGACTTGCCCTCCCAAACCAACCTGCCTCAGTTATTGGATTACAGCTCTAGACTAATAAAAGGAAATCCCCAGATGTAGTAGCTGAAGGCAGCTACAACCTTGAGCTCTTCCTACAGTGGAGGCCTGGAGATGGAAGTGTACAATAAAATGCTTGCTTTGATGTACAATAAAATGCTTGCTTGGAGACAGTTTTGTAAAATTCTAAGCAGGTCTGTGTTTATAACAAAATTGCATTTTTTTAAATCTCTGCCATCCCTCCTTTCATTCCTTCTTCCCAGGGCATCCTTTTTTTCCCCCTCACTTGTAATCTTAGGCCATGCTGATTTGGTTTCTGAGGTCCTTATTCATTACGCGGGGTCTTCTGGGGTATGCTGAAGAGGTGGGGTGTGCTTTTTTGCACATCTTCCCCCCCTTCTCACAGCGCCTGCTGCCCTCCCCCCACTCCCCAGCAGGTGTATCACCTTTTCTATTCTGCAGAGTCAGCTGAGGCTAATAACCCAGCTGTTTCCTTCCTAATGTTAATATAGTTCCTAGGGTTTTTCCTAGGTGTTTGCAAGGCTCACTCCATGTGACTCCAGTGTGTGTTCGAGCTTGGAAGATGGACAACCAGCCAGTGGTGATGAGGTACTTAGGTTGTGGACTTTTGTTGTAAGGAGTGTTGGGAGGAGGAGAGAGAAGAGGCGTGGAGGAAGGGATGCAGAGTGGAGCTCCAGATGTTCAGGAAGGCTGTATTCCCTGTGTTGGATGGAAGGTTCAGGGCAGGAAAGCTGGGTTGGGGCAGGGCTGTGAGGTCCGTTTACAACTATGCCTTGGACCTGCAGCATGGGACTCCCCTTTGTAGATGGAGTTTCTGTTCCGCCCAGTCTTGCAGCCATTTAGCCCCAAATAAACACACAGAGGCTTATATTAATTGTAAATTGTTTGTCCTATTGCTCAGGCTTCTTACTAACAAATTCTTACAACTTAAATTAACCCATAGTTGTTATCTGTGTTTAGCCACATGACTTAGTACCTTTCTCAGTATGGCATTCTCATCTTGTTTCCTGTGTGGCTGGCTGGCAACTACTTCTCTGTCTTTCCTTTTCTCCTAGTCTGTTAGCTCTGTCTGGCTACTGGCCAGTCAGCATTTTATTAAATCTTTACAGTGAACAAGAACATCATCCCACATCACCTCTTCCTGGATATCTTGGGAAACGGGGATCTGGAATCATCCAGACAGGACTGTCAAGTCTTGCTGTGATTGCCCAGAGTGGCAGGGGACAGCTGCCTCTGGATTCTACTGTGGGAGCCTTGCTCCTGACCTGGTTTGGATTTGTTTCTGTCAGGGACTCCTCACCTGGTGTAGTCGTATTTCAGCAGCAGGCTTCTGTACATAGAGGAATGGGAGTTTGAATTCTGAAATAGATGAACTAAACCACCATTTCAGAAGCCCAGGGTAAGTTTTATTTCACTGGTGGAGTTCAGCCAGACACTGGCTTTTGGTTACCACCCTGGATGCTGACTCAGTTTGCTAAAAAGACACTTGGTTCAAGCTACTACCTCACATTGGCACAATTTATCTCTTATTTATATTCCACTTAAAAACAACATACTTTTCTTACTTCCTCCTGGTTCCCCACTAAAGGGATCATGAAATAGTTTTAAATAAAAAGGTAAAAACACAAAAGTATCAGAGCAGAGAAGACGAAGAGGCGGAACGTAAACGTGACAGCGGAAAGCGGGTGGGAGAGGATTGGTGGCTTTGAAGAGTGAAATCGATGACGTGGGTGGAGGCCCGTGAAACTGGAAACTGCAGGCCCTGGGCATTAAGGACTAAGCCTTCCCACCAGGGTAACTGTTGTCCTCATTTTACCATTGAGAAGCTGAAAGAAGTAACAGGTCCATGCTCACACACTTCTCTGTAACTGAAAACACACTTGGGACTAATAATGAATTGTAGAGAGAAGAACTTCGTGGTGTGAACATTGCTTCTCTAAGAGAGATCTGAAGCGCTTGTGGCCAGTTAAGGTGTCTGCTCAGTATTTTTTTTCCCCTCAGTATTTTTTAAAGGGAGTTGTTTGTTTTCTTTTTACCACTTGTAGGTTCACAGAAAAGCTAAGCAGTGGATACAGTTTGCTTATATTCTTTATACCTACATGTGTAGCCCCACACATGGGCCCCTCACATGAAAAGTCCCTGTGCATAACTAATCCTCCCACCGAAAGCCTTGTCCTATCCATAGACTTCCCATATGCATATCGTCCCCACATCTGTCTTGCTTACATTCATAGCATGCCCACGTGTGCCTCCCAGCTTCAGTACTCTAGTTTTGGGAAGTTCCTCCCAGAGTGGCACATTTGTTACAGTCTGTACCCACACTGACACATTCCTGACTAGAGGACACATTTGTTACAGTCTGTACCCACACTGATACATTATTACCACTTAAAGCCCAAAGTTTCCATTTGGATTGACTGTACATTCTGTGTATTTGTCTAAATGTTTAGTAACACGTATCCACCATTACACAGAGTAGCTTTACTGTCCTTAAAGGCATGCCCCGCCATGCCCAGTTTTCATTTGGTTGATCTGAACTCAGATCCTTACACTTGTGCAGCAGGGGATTTCCGGATTGAGCTAGGCTCCAATTAAACAGCTTTCTTAATGCATGTGTGTGCTGGTAATCTCAGTGTTATTTCCTGTGTAATTTCCATTATCTCTGTGTAAATTAGAGTTTGCCTGCTGATGGTTTTTCTCTGTGGCAGAAAATCTGATACATGGTAGGAAGCATCTGCTGAATTAAATGTCCTTCACAATTCCCATGTGTTCCCGTATGCACAGTACTTGCAAAGACTTGAAAGTTGAATGTGGGAGTTAGCTTAGACAGCATATTTTTGTTTTAACACTCACACATCTGAGCCTCAGGAACATTGTAGAAGAAGGGCCAGAAAGATTGTAAGAGCCAGAGGATCAGAGAGTTTGCTGTGAGATTGCACCTCCTAGCAACATTAGAAACTATAAGGTCTTACCAACATGGCTGCCCAAACATGAGCCGAACAAGGATGGTACCATTGAACATGCCAAACTGGGCAAGGAAAACCCCAAGGCCTCAACTGTACACAGAGATCTATAGCCAGCTGAGGAAAGTTGGGGATGGGAGACATGCTATTCCCCAAAGAAAACCATAGCAATTGGTTATTCAATGCTACACAGCTCTAAAAATCTGTATACAGATAACATTGTATGGATTCAAGTAAGGTTATACTTAAGGTATTCATATGTATATATAAATCTATATATGCATGCAATAAATGATTAGTGAAAAAAAGAGGCCAAGACTTTAGAGGAGTGGGCAAGGGTATATGGGAAGGTTTGTGAGAAGAGGACAGGGAGAAATGTAGCTAAATTAATTAAATTATCTCAACAACAACAAAAAGGAATGAAGACGCTGAGACTCAGTGGGTTGAATGACTCTAAGGTGATTACATAAGCACTTACTGAGAGTTAGGAGAAGGAAACAGCTCCCTACTTTCTGTGCATGGTTACTACATGAACGAGTACTGTAATACAATTAGGCGCCAATAACACTCTAGATTATGATTTAAGACATCAAAGGTTTTCGTACCCATGTATGGTGTGTGGGAGATACATAGAACATTAGCCTTAAGGCTTTTCATTTCTTACATTAAATACAAGATGAGTTCTTGAGATCACCGTTTCTTGTTGGCAATGCTTTAGAAGTACCTACAGCTCTGCTTTGGATGTAGAAAGATGGGTCTCACTGGAATCCCAATGTTTCTTTTAGTCAAAGGGGAAGTCCCTGGCCTGATGCACAGGACTGGGATCAGAGTACAGAACCGAGTTTTCTGTATACAAGTGTCACTGTCACTTAGGCTGCTGGCAAAAGGAGCTATACCTTTTCTATGTCTTGAGTACTTTTAGGATTATTCCATTTTGTGTTCTCATAACAGTTCTAATATGAAGCATTGAGGTATTGGAGCATCCTAACTAAAATAATTGTTAGAGTCACCATTGTGAGGATTTTCCTCTGTGGCATTCTGTACCTCCTTAGCTGCAGAATGGTAGTACCCGTGCCAGAAAGATAAGTGGATGGATGGTCTGTGTTGGATTTTTACAATGGCAACAGTCAAGGAGTTTCATTAATATTAGGATTCTTGAGAGTAGATTCAGTATCTCCCATGATCCCAGAGACAACATTTCTTTTTTAAAAAAGCTTTAAGTAACTAAATAGAATCTAATTTTATAAACTTGGATATTTATTGACTAGCTAGACATTATCTACTAAAGCCAACAAATTCTAAAATACCATGTAGAATGAGAGGTTGCCTGAGTTTCACGTTTGTAACATGGTTTTTCTTGCAGTGTGTGAACTTAAATCTCCCTCTATGAGTGATTTCCTGTGGGGACTGGAGAACTCAGGCTGGCTAAGGCACATCAAAGCCATCATGGATGCAGGGATCTTCATCGCAAAGGTTTGTGAAGGCACAGAGGAAAAAAGTTAAGGGATAGTCATGAAGCTAGTATAACCTCAAAACACGGCCTGCCCTCTCTCTTGGCTGTCTGTACCCACTGCATGGGTAGGTAGCAGGCTTTGCAGGCCTCGATGTGTTGAAAATTATTTTGTGAAAGAGTGCAGTAGCTAGTTAACTGTGTTCTCATGATGGTCAAATAATAGAATATTTGCAGATACTCTCTCTTCTGTTAGATTTAATCCTGGATAAGGGAAAGAATTTTCTGTAGGAGACTGTACAACTCATAGGAGTCACCTCAGTGATGGGATTGGCTTATATCCAATAGACCCTGCTTTTCGGTCATGACGTAAGCCAAAGCTAGCAGGTGAATTCCATCCTACCACTGGAAGGGTCTGCTAGAACCTATACATAAGATATTTTTATAGAAAGTATTTTTATATAAACTAATGATTCTCTTATGATACTGGGTGTTTTCTATAAATAAATTCCTCTTAGATTTCTGCCTATCTGATGTTATGGGTGCCCTTTATTCAGATCCTTATTTAGTAGTACCTGGCTCTGTGCTTGGTATATGGTAGTAAGCTGGACCACATCAAATCTCTTACAGAAGTCACACACACACACACACACACACACACACACACACACACACAGAGACACACACACACACACACACAAATAGCAGTACAATTTCAGTTACTGACAAATGTTACACAATCACCACATTTTCAAGTTCGTGTTTTCTACCAAGAGAGCTAAAGACGTGTACAGATAGAATTCTTTCCTAGCAGATTCTGATATAGTCTTTCCATCCTCTGGATGTATTAGTTGGCCCTTATTTTATCTATAACTCCACAATTTGATAAGTTATATTTTTCATGCCATTCCTCTTTAGAAAAGACCTGTAGCAAGCCTTAACTTGGGGTGCAGGTAAGTTAGAGACATGACATGAAAGTGTGTTACATAGTGCACATACTTGTACTCGATAATTTGTGGAGCTTTGAATGTTTCCCTTTGTATGTAATGAGAAGGGAAAGAAAAGCTTTGGTTGCTAGCTCTAAGAAGGTTGGGTCTAACTCCTAGTTTTGTTAGTCTATAGCCAAACCTTATAGTCAATGTGACTCTCTGCCATTTCAGGTGGTATCAGAGGAAGGGGCGAGTGTGCTTGTCCACTGTTCTGATGGCTGGGACAGGACTGCCCAGGTATGCTCCGTGGCAAGCCTGCTGCTGGATCCTTATTATCGGACTGTGAAGGGCTTCATGGTGAGTCTGGTGACAAATGTCCTGAGAGGCAGAGCCTGGACCAGCAGTGCACTTCATTTTTAGAATCCTGTGACTTTTTCTCTCCCTTCTAATCAGCATTATTCTTCTCTTAGTAGGTCAGCAAGGTCAATTAAGGGGAAGAAACTGGATTAGGCTTGAAATAGATTAATTTAGAGGATGCTGAGACTAGGTCAATGCTGAATGCGAATTCAGGAGCAATATGAAATATATTTACAAGTGTGGAAACTAATTATTTGTATACATAATTTGCTTATAGACATCTCAAGTTGGGGCAGTGTATGACTGTATAGTAGGAAACACAAGGAAAAAATTTTACATTGTATGTATTTCTCCATGTACAAACAGTGTTTGGGGAACAACAACAACAAAAAAAAGCAGTCTTCATTCCTAAGTCTATTTTTTCAATGGTCCTTGACAGCACTGGAGGACATAATGAATTTCACAGTGTTCTCCATTTTTGGTAGAATCAGGAAATCAGGAACACATCCTTGAGAACTGGAACCTCTTGGGTATGCATCACAATTTGGCTGTGACTCCAGCTGCAGTTGCCTGGGATATGAGGTTATGGCTGAGGTGGTAGGATTCCTTCAGGTGACTGTAGGGAATTTCCGGTGACTAGGTGACCTAGTGCCTGCCTCTTGAACCACAATTTGATAGAGTGCCTTGTAGATCTTGAGTCTGCTCAGGACAGAGGCTGACCTTTGTCAGTAAGTTACACTAGCTGTTACCCTGGGGATAAGGTAGAAGAGGCAGACTACTTGCATGTTGAGAACATACTACTTTAGACATTTGAGATACTCTTCTGCCTCAGTTTTCCTGAGCAGGCTAGAGTCCTTCGTTCAGATGGAGAGTGTAGGATTCCCTAGGTACAAACTGTAGAACTCTTTACATATATGAAGTCATTAAATATATGAAATGCATTTAGAGTTATCAAGGGCAGACTTAACCCCGTTCATGTATTTCTACAGAGTGATATTAATGAGTTATTCTGCATGTGAACCTTGAGGCTAGAGTCACAAATGATTGTAAGCTGTGTGAAGTAAGGATTGGGCTTGAACTCAGATCTCCTGCAAGAGCTGTACATCCACTCCAGCCCACAATTAAACATTTTTTTGTTTTTTGTTTTTCCTACACTATTTCAGACAGTAAACTCACAGTAGCCATAATTTCAACGCAGTGCTGAAATTTCAAACATAGTACTTAACCCCATGACTTTAGAATTCTTTAATATAAAGCACAAGAAAGCATCCTTTATTTTGTTGGCAGGGAGGGATTTTACATTGTAGGGAAAGAGCATTACATGTTGGTTAACTGTTGAGGTTAGGAATAGAGACCTAGGATATGAAGTACTTCCTAAGCCTAAGATCTCTGGAGAATATTTCATCTGTCTTTACTTTAGCTTCCCTTTCTTTAAAATGCTGGATAATAATGGCTGTCAGACAAACACGATGACATGTGACGTCATAAGCATAGTGCCCAGCACATAGGACTCTAGGTAGAGTTACAACAGTCTCACATGTGCATTTTAGTTTAATTTTCATGTAGAAGGCCTCTAAGTGTGCTCCTTTTAAGTACATTCTGGACAATGTTGTTCTTTGAGTGTTTTATATAAGAGGTTGTGTCTGCAAGTATGCATGTGTGCACCGTGTGTGTGTGCCTGGAGGTACAGACAGTTGAGAGTACCATATGGGTGCTGGGGCCTGAGACTTCGTTCTCTGGAGAGAATCAAGTGCTTTTAAATATTTAGCCCTCTCTCCTGCTTGACAGCATGTTCTGACATTTGGGGGTTTCTTCTGCTCCCAGTAACTGAGTCCTTTATTATTAGTGGGGGTCTCTTATATTTCCCCCGAAGCTTCCAGGATATTTATATTCTTTTTTGTGTAGGTATTAATTGAAAAGGACTGGATTGCCTTTGGACATAAATTTAACCATAGGTAAGCAGTCTATTATTTCTTTTATTGAAACGTCTTTAATATGCTGTATGTCCTGTTGCAGCTTTCTTTCCTCTGCTTCTCCCAGCTCCTGCCCACACCCCTTCCATCTGGATCCACTGCTTCTTTTGTATCAGCAGGAAACAAACAGCTACCTAAGGGACATCATAAAGTAACGTAAAATAAAACAAAGCACATTGCAATTGAACAAAATAAATAAAAGGAAACGAGCCTAAGGAAAGGCACAGGGAGACACAGAGACCCACTTGTTTGCCCTCAGGAACACCCCCCACCCCCGACGCAAAAAATAAGAAGCCATAATATGTACACAAAGGACTTGCAGAGCAAAAGCAATAAAAAATAAAAATACTTAAAAAGATAAAAATTTTAAAAAAAGGAAATAAACAAAAAGGCCCTGATCATAACATTAAGAGACAAGTAACTTCCAAAGAGCTACTGAGCCTGTTCTCTATTAACCATCTACTGCTGGGCATCAGATTACCCTTCAGAGTAGTTTGTTTCCCTAAGGAGACTCCTTGGATGAGAGTAAATTTTCATTTGAAAGAGGCTGTCAGTTGGAGATAGCATCTGGGCTAGGGATGGGGGCATGTGTGCACTTTTCCTTCAGCTCTAGGGCCCCATCTGGTGCAGGCTGCCTCGGTCTCCGTGCATACATATGTGCCCCATGTTGGTTTAGAGGGCCTTGTTTCTTGGTGTGTCCCCTCCATCCCCTCTGGCTCTTACTCTTCCACTTCCCCTTCTGTGGGTAGACATCCCATGTAGGGCTGAGTGTTCTAACGTCTCTCACTCTGCACATTGTCTGGCTGTGGGTCTTTGCATTTGTTGCCATCTCTGCTGCAGGAGAGCTTCTCTGATGATGGCTGAGCAAGTCCTGATCTATGAATGTAGCAGAATGTCATCAGGCATCATTTTATTGCTAAGCTATTTTAGTAGAAGAGTGGTATTTGGTTTTACTCTGGGTCCCTGGGCTCAGGTTCCTTGGTCACCCAAACAGTGTTGGGTATGGGCATGGACCTTAAATTAAATCAGATGTTGGTTGGCTACTGCTGTAAGTTCTGTGCCACCATGGCACTAGCGTATCTTACAGGTAGGACACCATTGAAGATCAAAGAGTTTGCAGCTGGGCTGTTTTATGTTTCTCCTTTGGTAGCATACAGAGTACCTTCCTGTACTAAAGTCGCTAGGATGTAGGGGTTAAAGTTCTATGCAGGCACCAATCTGTTTTGTAAGAGATTAAAATGGCCCCATCTGCTTGCTTCTTAGGTCGATTTGCTTGGAATATATTTTTCACATCGTTTTACCCAGAGGTGATGTCTATCCTGGATGTTAAGCTATGTTTCTTGGATACAGAAGCAGGATGGATCCTGTTTTTGCATTGTGTTAGTCTGTATCTTTTTATTGGGGAATTGAGACCACTGATGTTGGGATGTCAATGAGCAGTGTTTGTTGCTTCTGCTTATTTTGATGTAATGTATTGACTTCCTATTCTGCCATTAGTTATTTCTTGTGTTTTCTTTAGCTGGAAGTTTTCTTTCTAGCTCCTCTTCTGTATGACTGGTTTTATAGGCAGACACTCCTTAAGTTTGATTTTTATCTTAGACTGTCTTTTTTTCCCACCCGATCGAAAAGTTTGCTGGATATAATTGGGCTGGCATCTGTGGTCTCTTAGGGTTTGTAGAACTTCTGTCCAGGCCCTTCTGGCTTTAAAATCTCCATTGAGATTTTATTCCAATAGATCTGCCTTTATATGTTACTTGGTCTTTTTCCCTTGTAGCTTTTAATATTCTTTCTTTGTTCTGTACATTTAGTGTTTTGTGTATCATGGGGAATGTGCTTTTTTGGTCCATGCTATTTTATGTTCTGTATATTCCTTTGAACATTGTTAGGTACCTTTTTCTGTACGTTTGGGAATTTTCTTCTATAATTTTGTTGAAAATATTTTATGTACTTTTTGAGCTGGGTTTCTTCCGCTATTCCTGTTATTCATATATTTGGTCTTTTCATAGTGTTCCAGATTTTGTGTCAGGATTTTATCTACATTTATTTAACATTTCCTTTGACCAAGGTATCCATTTCTTTTATCTTGTCTTAAATGCCTAAGATTTTTACATCTCTTGTTTTCTCTTGGTGAGGCTTGACTCTGAGTTTCCTGTCTAAGTTCCAGAAATTTTCAATTCCAGATTTCTTTCAGTTTCTTTTTTTTAATATGCTGCTAAAGAGAGCACAGTTTGGGTTTTCTTTATTGATTCTGTTTCCACTTCAGTACTTCAGCTATTTTGTTCATTCCCTCCCAGTGTTTGTATTTTCACAGATTTCTCTAAGGGATTTACCCACTTTTAAAGTATCATAGTCACAAAGGCTATTTTAAGGTATTTTTTTTTCTTGTGCTTCAGCTGTGTTGGAATACTCAGTGCTTACTGTGGTAGAGTTGCTGGGCTCTTAAGGAGACATTGTCCTAGCTATTAGTGTGTTTTTACGCTAATAGGCATCTGGGTTAGGATTGATTAATTCTAGGTGCTTATCTCCGTGTGTGTTTTGGGTGGGTGTTCCTTGGTTTCTGCTGTCTTCTCTAGATTGACTGTGGGTTTCTTGGTAGGTGCTTGTACAAGTCTGTTTGTGGCACAAAAGGATGGAAACGCCTAGGGGTAAAGTCTGAAAGGTGCTTCAGGACAGAGGATCCTGTTCACACCAAGAAGTGGGCTCCAGAGAGATGTGGGTGTGGCTGGAAAAGCAGATCTTATAAGATTTATTTTTGTATTGAGGTTTATGATATCTTTGCATTTGTAGATATCTAATTAAAAAACACCTCTTAAATTATAAAATCTGGACTACTTTGTTTTACAGATATGGAAATTTAGATGGTGACCCAAAAGAAATCTCTCCGGTAATCGACCAGTTCATTGAGTGTGTCTGGCAGTTAATGGAGCAGTTCCCTTGCGCCTTTGAGTTCAATGAGAGGTTTTTGATTCACATTCAGCATCATGTTTATTCCTGTCAGTTTGGAAACTTCCTATGTAACAGCCAGAAAGAGAGAAGAGAACTCAAGTAAGTTTTGGTGTTCAATTTTTAATGATTTTGGCAATTGAGGGTTTCATATAGATTTTTATAATTTGAAAACTACTTAATTACAGAGTAGTTACAGAACTACTCCACATTCTTTTGCCATTCCTGGCATCATTTCATAAATGGTTTAAATGTTATCAGCTGACAGAAATATATTGAATCACTTTCCCTGTGAGTATGCCTGAATCAGAAAGATCAGAAGACTTGACATTAATATTTAAAGGAAATTTCTGGAATGAAAGAAATTTATGTTTGCCTTAAAAACTGTTAGACATATTTGATAAACATAATTAAAATGTCTGATTAACTAGAAAAGCATATTTGAAACTGAAACCATTAGACTTATGGTTTTGTTCATTGCACATAGCAGGTAATGAGCTTCGTCATAAAGACCTTTACATTCAAGTAGATCCTATATGGTGCCTTTGTGTCTTTCAAACTTAGGCCTTTTTTTCCCCCCCTTTTTGAGATGGAGTGTCACAGTATAGTCCAAGCTGTCCTGGCACTCAGGATCTTTGCACCTGAGTGCCACCACTTAGGAAAAACTTCGATTTAGCTTAGATTAAAGCTTTGTTGCCTTAGTTAAGGCTAGTAATATTAAAATGCAGAATTTTAAATATCATTGAAAACCTAGGGTGATTTAAGTAGTGCAAATGGAAGAATTTTTGAGGTACTAATAGCATAAAATAATTTTAACTCATTGTGGATGACATCCAATTTGTATCATCTGGAGTGGAATAAAGTTACTTTGTTGTAGTAGATGCTGATGTGTTCTCCATGGAACTTAAAAGGTATGATTTCTGATGAACAGAGACTATTTTAAAGCAGAGTATAGACTGTGGTTCCTGTGCAAACATGGAGACCTAAGCTCAAAACTCACATTTAAAAACAAAACCAAACAAAAGTCACTAGGTGTAATATAGGCTTTGTTTGTTTTCCAAGATAGGGTTTCGTTGTGTAGGTTTGTAGACCAGGCTAGCTTCGAACTCACAGAAATCTACTTATCTCTGCCTCCCAAGTGCTGGTATTAAAGGCATGTGCCACCACCACCTGCCCTAGTGGTATACTTTTAAAAGATTATTTTTTATTTTGGGTGTATGTTTTGCCTGCATGTAAGAATACGTACTGCGTGCATGCTTGGTACATGCAGACATCAGGAGAGAATCCTGGATCCCCTGGGACTGAAGTTAAGGATGGTTGTTAGCCACCATGTGGGTGCTAGGAACAGAACCTAGGTCCTGAAAGAACTGCTGAGTCCTACTTGTCTAGCCTCCTGGTGTGCTTATAATCCCAGTGCCAGAGAAGTAGAGACTGACAGATCTCCACTTTTAGATCTCTGGGATCAGTGAGAGAATCGTACTCTAAAATCAAGTGGGAGATGGCTCAGTGGTTTCTGTTTGCCCACAAACACGAGGACTGGAGTTTGGGTTCCCAGAACCAATGCTAATACAATTCAGCCTCTGAAGGTCTACAAGGGAACTCTAGAGCAGCTGTCTAGTGAGACTGAGCTGGGGGTTTGAATGAGAGTGCCTGTCTCAATAAGTAAGGCAGGAACAGTTGAGGATCATTTTGACATCTGCCCCATAGTGAGAATAGAAAGGGAGAAAGGTTCACAGTTGCTGAAGACTCTTGAGGGTGAACGCTGGCCTGTCTGCAACCTCAGGATACACGAGTAAGAGTGTGCACATAGCAGAGCATATCCTTTCGTCTCCCTTGTTTTTCTGGGTAGCTTGTAGAAGTCTGCTGTACTGGGATTGCTAATCCTAGTGGTATCTGCTTGGCTTTTAATATTCATTTTTCTACTAACTAGGTATGGGATTTGGTGAAACTACTTTCCATTTGTGTCTTCAGAAAATGATACATATATAGAATTGTGGATTAAATGAAGCATTTAGCATAGTGCTTGGAAACTTAAGCATCTGATAACTGTTTGAGGATTAAAAACTGCAAGAAACTATCTAACCAATGTTTCTTTAAATACTCAAAATAAGCAAACATTTTGTCAAGTCTAGTACAGACAGTAATGAAGACTGTCCTAACAACATTTTGTAGCATGTCAAGAAGCTACTGGCAGATGGTGATGTCACCGTCTTATAGTAAGAATGCCTCAGATAACGATTACTAGTTCTTTCCAACAGAGTATAAAATACTTGTTATTTAGAAGAACCAAGATGAGTCATTTCTTGCCTCTTTTTAATAACAGGGTTCAAGAAAGAACCTACTCCCTGTGGTCACACCTGTGGAAGAATCGGGCTGACTACCTCAATCCTCTGTTTAGAGCTGATCACAGTCAGACCCAGGGGAGCCTTCGCCTGCCTGCAGCTCCATGCAACTTCACATATAAGTAAGTCCGTCTTGAGGGACTTGCCAGATGTGCTTTGCAACTGGCATGACTTAACAGTCAGAGGCCACAATGTGAGACTCAAGCTTCAAGGCTTTGCTGGACAGAAAACCTACCAAAGAGGGTAACTGGCTCTCTGATGGTGCTTTCTTCTCTCCATTGCTTTACACAGGAAAGTCCCTATAGAAATTGATGCTTTATAGTAGTAAGGTCCTTAAAAGTAGAAGTTCCTACCGTGGTAACTGAAGTGCAGGAAAGGAAGGCACATCCAGCCCTGTGGAAGTAGAATTGGAAGCACACATTGGTGGGATGTTGATTTAAGGTGATACTGAGTGGGGAGAAGGAAGAGCCCGGGGCCTTTACAGGTTCTAGGTATGATATGCTAAATGTGTGCTGCATGCTCTCGTTTGGATTCACTTCAGTCTCTCTTCATGGTAAAATGATTCAAACCAAGCCAGAAAACAGCAAACAGTTTGACACACTGTGGATTCTATTCCTAAAGATGGTTTCAGTTCTGGGTACCTTGTTATTATTTCTGACAACATAGCAGAAGATTAATTCTGTATCAAAAATGCCTGCATGGTTTGTGCAAAATAAGTTTTTTAAAATGAATTAAGACACACTACAGTTATCTGTAGTGTAACTTATTAATAATTTAAGAATATTTTACTGAGGCTCAGGAACTGTTCTATATGCTGTAGATAAATGAGAGCCCTTGTCCTCAAGGTACTTTCTTATAGGCATTTGCATTATAGACTGCTTTACTATCTAGATTTATTGAAAATGCAGATGTCAATTTCTAGTAATAAAGTGAGACTAAGTTTAAAAGAAAGCTTTCCTTTGCAGCAGAAATTCTAAATATATAATCACAAATTCTCAAAGTTCCAATGATTAAAAAATGCTGCTTCAGTCTATTTATAGAAAAAGCATGTTTTAATTCAGTTATATGAACTTACTCTAAGAGAAGTCAACTACCCTAGAAAAAAATACCAGCCTGAAAATATTACCTTTAGTAGTTGCTTTTCCAAGCCTATTACTTGCTGTTGGTTATTAATATTGTTGGGCCATGATACTGAAGACTAGACTTGAGGTTGTGCATTTTCAGCCTGGGATATGTGGTCTCCTTCCTTCTTCCCAGGTTTTGGAGTGGGATGTATAACCGCTTTGAAAAGGGGATGCAGCCTCGACAGTCTGTTACAGACTACCTCATGGCTGTGAAGGAGGAGTCCCAGCAGCTGGAGGAAGAACTGGAGGCCCTAGAAGGAGTGAGTCTTACTGCTTCTATTTTCTTCTGTGCCTATTGGTTGAACCAGCCATTTCTTTTAGTCAGTGGATAAGATTAAAATAGTCTCATTTGGGTGAACACCCAGATAAATGAAGCCCAAACCAAAACCTGTCCAGTCATCTATGTTAGGTTTGGCCCACTTCAGCTTGCTGAAATGCTTTACTGGTCAGAACATTTTATTTTTCCCATTACTGTTATTTGAGAGTACTTAAGATATGGGGGCATGAAAAAGCAAAATTACTGTTCAACTTTGAAGAATTTCATTTGATACTGTATGGACATGTAAATAGTTGAGGTTAATTATGTGGTATAATTTCCGCTACTGGGCAGACATTGCGTGTATGTGTGTGTGTGTGCATGCGCGTTTCTACTTGCATGTTGTCATCTTCAGTGAAAACTATTCATTCTGCTTCACTCATCCTAAAACTCTACCATTCATCTGCTCAAGAATTGGCAATAAATTTCTATTGTTTGGAACCTGTATTTTCAAGTGAGAATCAGTATTTGAAATATAATGAGATGAGGCTGGAGGTGGCTGGTTAAGAGTACTACTCCTCCCAACGGATCTGGGTTTGGTTCTCAACACCCAGCGGTAGTTCACAACCATAGGTAACCAGAGTTCAGGGATCTGATGGCTCTAATCTCCACAGGCATTGGATGACTGTGATGCTCATACATACGTGCACGCACACACACACACACATCAAATGCTTTAAAGAACTTTAAAATACAATTTAGACTTTTTAAACAGTCTTATGTAGTAGTGTATAAACATTAGGATGAAGGCTAAATGCAGTGATGCTACTGGAAAAGAACATGAACTCCTCTTAGATTGGTAACTCATCTGTAGTTCCTGACTATGAATTATGGCCTGGGAAAATGGAGCTTTACAGGGCAAAGATGCCAATAAATAGAGTTGTTTTAGAGGTGGCTGTCATTTGTTTCCTTCATAATACACTAGAAGAAATCACTTTTCAGGCCTTAAGTTTATGGTCGTAATCGTATTCCCTTGTTGAAGTTGAGCACTTTTGAGATAAGCCTAGACGGTTATTCTAATGTAAATATTAATGAAGAGTTCTGTCTGCATCACTGGTGTACATGACTGCAGAAACAGATCTTAAGTATGCATGCAGCAATAGTCACTGCCTGAGCATCAAATCTAGAAATCCATGTTTACATGACACAGATGACTGGAGTCATCAGGTATAGAGCTCTAAGACCTTGGACTAAAGAATAAAATCAGAAAGCTGAAATGAGCCACAGATTAAAGTTTATAGTTTTGGAGGCATTTAGACCTGTTGCCAAAGCCCCCTCTTGTTGGGCCAATTTATTTTTCACAAAGGCATCCAGCTTTCTGAATCTTAGGATCCTACTTACTATATAGCATTCTTTTGGTTGAAAAAATTGTAAAATGCAGTAATAAAACAGGTAGAATCAAAGAACCTTAATTTTAAAATGCTGATTTCTTATAGCAGCTAGCTTAGCCTTTGAAAATTTTCCATACTGTGCTGTAATTCCTTTTAGTTCTAGTTAAATGCTCCCCATCTAACTATAGTATTTTCTGCTTTCTGCCTTTGTGACTTTGTAGCCACTGCAAGGTCCAAGCTCTGCTCTTTCAGAGTTAATTTCAGTGCTTCCTCTGCTCTTTCCCTTAAAACCATCTTACCTTCTTGAAATGACAAGAAGTCTGCCAGTGTTTTATAATGCTATGGCTGTGTCTGGATTCACAGGACCCAGGTTTAATTCTTAGCACTCAAATGGCAGCTTATAATTGTCTATAACTAGTTCCAACGGAACCAGCAGCCTCTTCTGACCTTCACAGGTACCAGGCCCACACATGGTACACATACATACATATAAACATCCATATGCATAAAAATAAATGTTTTAAAATAAAAAACCCCACACATTAATAGTTAATAGGATGGAAATTACTATGACAAATTATATAGACATAAGACAAAGGGACCACTTCCAGGCACTTCAACCATATTGCATCGTTCACACGACAGAGAATCTGTCAAGGCAGTTATCACCATTAGAGGTAAAGAAAACAAGCCTATCAAGTTCATGACCTCTGGTTTTCAACTGACTCCTGTCCTTAACATTATCCTCAACTTGGAGGCAATGACTAATATGGCATGCATATATATATATATAAGTGTAAATTATTTATGACTTTCCTTAAAGTTGTTACTTATTTTTTAGAGGCTGGAAAGAATTCAGAAAGTCCATTTCAATGGCACCAAAGTGAAGGGTAAGCAGAGTGAACCCAGCAAACACTCGGGATTTTCTACCTCAGACAACAGCACGGCCAACACTCCTCAGGATTACAGTGGGAACATGAAGTCCTTCCCATCTAGGAGTCCTTCCCAGGGTGATGAAGATTCTGCTCTGATTCTAACCCATGACAACTTGAAGAGCTCAGACCCTGACCTGTCAGGGAACAGCGATCAGGAATCTGGGGTGGAGGATTTGAGCTGTCGATCTCCAAGTGGTGGTGAGCATGCTCCCAGCGAAGACAGTGGCAAGGACCGGGACTCTGACGAGGCTGTGTTTCTCACTGCCTGAGGCTTCCCTTTGGAGTTCCAAAGTAAAAGACACAGAAACACTTCCAAATTACAGGGACAGTGCAATTCATAATAAAGAATATCTCAAGAAATGGCACGTTCCATCAAGAACCATAAAATACAGCTATGAAAATTAAAAAATAAAAAATAAAAAGAATACAGTCTGTCAGTAGCCAGTTCTTTTATCACATCATAATGAAGACTGTTCAGCATTCCTGAGGCTCATGTTACACTATGAAAATTATATTATATTCACTATGAAAACAAACCACCATCACCTGAGGTGGGCCATACAAGTCTTCCCTGGCATAGCATGTCTCTACTTAGCCCTCTCCTTCCCCTCCTACTTGTTCATGGTTTAGAATTTACTTCCAGATTGTTGGTTTTCTGAAACATTTGACATTTCCTTCTACTTTTACCAGTATTTTTAAAAACAAGTACTGAAAGTAACCTTTCTTATTAATAAATATTTCTAAATATCTTTGAAATTAATCTTTCAGGTAGGATAACTTCTCATTAGATAATATTTTAAATTTTATCTCCCCCTCTGGAGTATCTTCTGCTTTTCTTCATCACTTAAAAATGCTAAAATGTTTTTTAACATGGATGTAGTATCTAATAAAGCAGAAGCCTCACTCACTTTATATCAGATATGAATCCAGATATCAGCTCTTAGCAACCTCTTATTACTATTTCATAGACTGCACCTAACAAAACTGTGAGCCACCACCAACCTGATTCTAAATGACAACACTGTAGACGCAGTAGGTAAGGATGCATCTATGATACATCAGCCAGGGAAGGCTTCCAGTGAAGAACTAGGGAATTTGTTATTATGTGTCTCAGTTAATTTTCTCTTGTGACAAGATACCACAACCAAAGCAACTAGAAGAAAGAATTTATTTGGGGCTTACAGTTTCAGGGGGTTAGATGCCACAACTGTCATGGCAGGAGGGAGGACAGCAGCAGGCAAGCAGGTATGGTACTGGAGCAGTAGCTGACAGCTCACGACTTGAGTTGTCACCCAGATGCAGGGAGTACTTACTGGGAATGCTGTGGGCTTTGAAATTTAAAACTGGCCTCCAGTGGCATACCCCCTCCAAGAAGGCCACACCTCCTAACCCCTCCTATACAGTTCCACCAACTGGGAAACAAACATTCAAAGAGAAGCCTTTGGGGCCATTCTTCAAACCCCAACATCATTTCCATTAAACACAGGTAGTAAAGGTTATACAGCAAAGTAACATTAGCTATATCTCATGACCATGAACTGATGAATACCATTTCTGAAGTTTCTGTTAAAATGTACATTTAGAGTAAAATTATTCCCATCTTATACTAAAAAACAGGATTGAAATTGAACTTTTGATCTGAAGACTTAGTGGAGAAATGTTGCTGTGTTTGAACACACTGAAATGTTCGTATTAATATGATTTTGCAATATTAGTACATTCTAATGAGATAAATTTAATCTTAGTTTTTATAACAGTATTTTAAAATGTGAAAATTTTTATCAGATAATGTATTCAATTTTGTGGAAATAGAAACACATTAATAAGAAAGGACAAGAAACTGCAAAAATCTCTAGTGAGTTATATACACATATCACATAATGTAAGACAGTATAATAGTGTTCACATTTAAAGAAGATGACTTTAATATACTAAAGGCCTGTAATATAAAAAATATTGTTAATATAAAAATAAAGCAAGTATTCTTTTAGATGTTAATCTGAGCATTTTCTGTTGAGAAGTTCCCCCAATATTAAGCACAAGAAACATTTATTCGTTTTTATAGTCTTAGCCAACAGTCTAATAGTTAATAAGCACATGGGATATAGTAAGACTGGCTTTTACAGCTTTATAGCATGTCTCCTTTCTGCTTTTGTAGTAGCATTTGACTGTGTAGCCCTGGCTGGCCTCAAACTCAGGAATCTTTCTGCCTACCCCTCTTGGGTGCTGAGATTAAAGGTGTGTGTCACCATGCTAGGCTTTCTTACCATTTTTTAGTATCCACTCTTAGAAACTGTAGTCTAATTTCTTATAGCAGGCAGTAAGTCTAAAGAAAAAGAGAAAAAAAAAAAAACCAAAGAGCATCTATGCAAAACTGGGTAACATATTTAGAAAAATAGTATATATAAACTTTTTAATGTGATACCTTCAACATCAGAGTCACACACTTTATGTTCCCCTCATCCTTTTACAAGACATAATGTAAGCATGTGTTCACTGTTTTTTACAAGTTAACCTAGCACTGAATCTACATACAAATAATTACTGGGCCTGGACAAACCATGGCCAATTCAACAAGACTAAAATCTCTAGTATTACATGTTCAGTCATGAAGCGTTTTATTATTTAAGGCAGTCTTCCAGGGAATACTATGGCTGAAGACATAGTACTCCCCAACCAGTTACAGCTCAAGTGCTTTGTTACTTTTAGTAATACTAAAGCTTGATTTGAAAAAGGAAAGAATTTTGATCATGTTTGAACGAGCCAATTGACAAGTTTAAATTGCAAAGGCAACAAGGGAAACAAGCCTTCAAATTATTTTTTTTAATCCACTTTGCACGTGTGTGTGCACACCTCCACTGGAGGTGCTGAAGAGAGGAGACCAGGTGTCAAAGCTTGCCTTCCACCTTGTGTCGCAGCAAGGTCTCCTTCACCACTCTTCTGTCCCCGTATACACTGGTCTGTCTGAACTGCTTCCTGGAACGACTCTCTCAGCCTCCACTTGTGTGTAGGAGTAATGGAATTACAGACCGGTCTACCATTCGTCAGGTTTTTAATGTAGGTTCTAAGGATCTGAACTCGGGTCTTCATGCTTGCGTGATAAGCAGGTTAGCATGGAGACCCTTCTCCACTACAGTACAAATTTTCATTCCTGAGGAGAATTCAACTGGAAGAGTACCTGTCTGACATGCTGGAGGCCCTGAACACAATCCCATGCACCACATACACTGCTGATATGTGCTTATGATCCTAGTGTACTCAGGAGATGGAAGCAGATGTCAAGGTCATCCTCAGTTATACAGCAAGTTAGAGGGTAGTCTAGGTTAACGACCCTGCCTTAGACAAAAAAAAAAAACAAAAAACAAAAAACAACCAAACAAAAACCCCTAAGTTTACTTCAACACAATCTTAATCACCTTCCCATTTAAATAGGTAAATTGTAGTCAAACAACCTCTGGTCTTTATTCTGCCATTAATTCCCAAGTGTTAATTTATTCTGAAAATTTGACTATTACTCATTGACTTAGTACTATCCTTGATAAATTCTGTCCGAGGTAGTCTTAATTCCTAGACCTTGCTTTATAATCTTCTATACTATACACTAAAGTAAAATAATACATCTTTTTTGGTTTTCATATCTATAGCCAATATTTACAAAGAAAAAATACGGCCATCTGAACAAGTTTGTCAATTTGTTAAATGCAGGTAACTGGTCAAAGGTCTGTCTAATGTTTGGATTCTAAAGAGGGTCTCTGAATTAAGGATAAATTATTCTTTCTTAAATGACAAATGTGATGTGGAATGAAGAGAAGCACCTAGACACCCAGAGACCACACTTGGGCTATCTCTGGGTAGACTTTCTACAATGCTGGAGGTATTTAATAGAAGCTTAGGAAGACAGATCAGATGAATCAATGTTCTAGAAGGCCTGCAGTCTGATGTCTTTTATTCTAGGATATGCCTGGTTTTTTTTTAAAGCAAGTAGGCTGGGACTGAGAAAATCTCTGCCAACTGCAGTGATTGCTGGGAATGTTAGACTCCAACACCAGTGCAGTAAGGAGACACCTCTGAATGTCCCCATGTTGGTCACAAATTTGAAACACTAATATATCAGTTATCTCACATACATATCCTTATCAGGAATAACAAGTTTACCCTTCATTCGGCCATATTGAGGATTAAATAGCATGTCCTTAGCAATAGTACCAGGAAGACATGCAATTATACTGTATATAGCCAGCATTGGATCTCTACAGTCCATGTGAATATGTCTTCAACAAACATGAAATATTTTTCATTAGGGAAAGACTTGTTTTTCCTAAAATTGTATTACCAAAGCCATGTAGAATAAGAAGAAGACAAGACAATCTGTAATGCATGCAGGCTTTGGAATGGCAAGCAAATAAAATTTAAGAGTATTTAGTGGTTTATATACCTTACTAAACCTCAGATATGTAGTTATTCATTTTCTTCTTTCTTGAGATGGAACATTGGCAAGACTGGTGTCTCCCGACTTTCAATATTTGAAAACCAACTGCCTTTGACAGTTTTATCATCTAGAAAGAAAGAACTTGTGTGTGTGTGTATATGTGTGGTGTGTGTGTGTGTGTGTGTGTGTGTGTGTGTGAGAGAGAGAGAGAGAGAGGGAGGGAGGGAGGGAGGGAGAGAGAGAGAGAGAGAGAGAGAGGGAGGGAGGGAGGGAGGGAGGAAGGGAGGGAGAGAGAGAGAGAATGTTTGTGTGTTTTTGTGGTGTCTTTTCTCTTTTACACAACTGACAGGAAAAGAAGCTAAGTAATAACCATTCTTGATAAAGAAATGAGGCAGTTTCAAGTTAAAACTCAAAATGTTAATCAGTAGTTTCATAAAATATTAAAAACTAGCTAGAATTACATGCATAGACGTTTAATCAGGAAAAGCAGTGGAACTTAAATACAGGATTTGTCAACAATAAACATTTTAGTGCAAATAGTGCAGAAAAATCTCTGAAAACAAATATAGCAGTCGTTCTAATCTATACAAAATCAGTCTCAGTCATGTACACAATCTATAGAGTGCATCTGGATTTCAGCCATGGTCATGAAATGCCAATTTATAAGTCATAAATATAAAACAATGTGCTTAGTTTTGGGTCCCATTTCTTTCTTGATTTTTGTTTTCTGGAAAATCTGAAATGAAAAAAAATATTAAACTTCAGATTTAATTTAAAATACTAACTCTCATTCCTTTATACTGTCTTCTGGTTTAGATTTACTGTAACTTTACTGGGAGGGAAACATTTCAGTATGTTCCTAAAGAATAATTTATTTCTACATCTTGAGCAGGTATGAACACAAAAAGTATAAAAATGAGCCCAATTTAGGAAATAATATCCAAAACAATTCAGAGTTGGTAGTAATGCAGTTTGAACTAAAGATGAGAAATGTCT